ATGACTAGAAAAAAACAGCATGACAAAATTACTTTATGAACAAGAATATGGTGCAAATACAGACAATGAACTCATTTAGAGAAAAAAGTTGTCTGACTTCCTAAGTTCTGTCCTGTATTCCATCGCGTCTATTTGATGCTACAGAGATGTATTATTCCAAACCAAACAAGCAGTTACGCAAAGTTCCCATGTTTCTGACTAATCAAGTAAAAGGATCTGAAACCACAAGAAACTGAAAAAGGGAGTGATTCTCTTTTTCACACTCCCATGTAGTTATCTGCCACCTAAGAGAGTACCTTTAAGAAAGCAGCTTCCAGTCCATAGCACCAAAGTCACATTCGTCCCAGCCTGTTACCAAAAAAAAAAAAAAAAAAAAAAAGGCTGGAGCCCTAGGCTGCTAAGAGCTGACACTTACTTACTTACTGAAACATAATACAAGCAGTCAAGACCTGACAGGAACATTTACACAGAGAATCTGTTGGTTACTCACCATATTATACCACAAACATTTAATGTGTGGTTGACCTAACAGAATGTGAATTTCTGAAGGGCAATGAGTCAAAATGGGGCACATAGCCCTCAAAGGAGTGCTCAATAAATGATATAAGCCTGCAAATTCACACAATCAAGGAAAAATCTCATCTGATTGAATTAAGCATAGGAGGTTTCCAGCTGCTTCTTTTCAAAAATAAAATCAGAAATACAGCTAGTTTTAAAGAACAGCTGATGGTAAATCACATTTTTTTCTCTTTTCAAACAGTTTGTATTTTTTCTGTATTTCTCCCGTTTTTCACTGTTAATAATGAAGGTAGAGAATAAGTGATTTGTAAGTTACATACAGGCAATAAAACTAAAAGTATATAAATACATAAACACTTTGAAAAAATAATCCCATTCCCATGAAAATAAATATAGAGAAGATCCAATATGGCTGAATAGGGTATAGCCACACTAGCTTAAGTTATGAATATGCAAAGAACAAAGAATGACCAGCTTTCCAGGGCTCTGACTGATGGAAGTTTTCAGTGCAGAACAACAACAACAACAAAGCAACCCTCATGGGGCAAGAAAAAGAAAAGACACAGACACCACTGAATCCATCTGAGTTGTGAAGGTAACTAAGTGGCACAGCCAGCTGCCGGCTGAGAGCCTCCACCTGATGTAAAAGTAGGAAGAAACTGCCACACAACCTGCTGCTCCCTATTTTAGCAGACAGGGAAATCCACAGTCACCCACTGACTTTTTTTTTAAATATTTATTCATTTATTTATTTACTTGAAAGGCAGAGTTATAGAGAGGCAGAGGAAGATGGAGAGAGGGAGAGACACAGTGAGACAGTCTTCCATCCACTGGTTCACTCCCCCAAAGGCCGCAACGACCGGAGGTGGGCCTATCCGAAGCCAGAAGATGGGAGCTTCTTCTGGGTCTCCCACCTGGGTATGGGGGCCCAAGAACTTAGGCCACCTGCTACTGCTTTCCCAGGCCAGAGCAGAGAGCTGGATAGGAATTGGAGCAGCAGCGACTTGAAGCGGCATCCATATGAGATGCTGACGCTGCAGGCAATGGCTTTATCCACTATACCACAGGACTGCCCCTACCTTTGAAAAAGTATTTATTTATTTAAAAGGCAGAGTTAGAGAGCCAGAGGCAGGGAAGACCCACTCACTTTTATTTCAGCCTGGAGAGCAGACTGGGATCTGAGCAATCGTCAGGCATAACAGGGAAACCACCTTGCTCCTTTTCCTACCCCAATCCCCCAGAGCACCGAATTCCACAGTGAAAAATCAAGCAGCAGGCCTCTTGTACCCAGCATCACAGAGTCAGGGCAACGTCTGGGGCCAAGAACAGATTCCAGTGCATCCTGCACCCAACCATGGGAGCTTTTGGGCAATAGCACCAGAGCTATGTTCACACACTCCATGTTTACAAGGGAGAGTCAGTCCTCTAAGCTTCTGGGCATTAACACCTGAAGCAGCCCACAGGAAAATTCACTCCACCCTGGTTGACCCGGGTAATGACCCCACTATACCTTGCAACAGTAGGACTGTAACAATTTATTCTAATTTTGTCAGTGCCACTGTAATCTACTCAGTGGACACAGGGAAGAACCTACCTGCATTCCACATCTCTGGATTCATCCCCTCCAGAGGAAAATCTCCTGTATACCTTGTAGTCACCCTGTAGGACTGGAGCATGTCCAGTTCACACTCCCTAGTCCTAGGACTACAGCTGCTGGTATCAGAAGCCACAGCAACAGTTGGACTCTCCTAGCAGGATCAGAGGAAGGGTTCATCTGGATCACACCATCTTAGAGCCACAGCAATCGGTGTCCAGACCCAGGCATCACTCTGGCTTGCCAGCAGCACAAGGAGGTAGCCACAGGTATGTCTCTCAGCTCTAAGAATAAGGCCCTGGCTATCACGTTTGGCAGGAGTACTGACAATGAACTCCCAGTGGAGCAAAGATACACACCCAAGGGGACACTTATCCATCACAAAGCCATACTTTTATTCCTACGAACTGTGGAGGACTAATCCACTGTTGTTTCTTACAGACATGGCTGATATTAAGACAAAAAGAAATCACTCAAGAGACTACACACCTGGCCTCATCTTGATCCAAACCCAAAGTAACAAGCCAGGTGATACTCTGTATTCCAGATAAACCATACACTCCTTTACAATGGAAACTATTTCATAAAAAGGAAAGGACAGGGGCCGGCTGTGGCACAGTGGGTTAACACCCTGGCCTGAAGCACCAGCATACCAAATGGGCGCCGGTTAGAGACCCAGTTGCTTCTCTTTCAATCCAGCCCTCTAAGGACTGGGAAAGCAGAGGAAGATGGTCCAAGTCTTTGGGCCCCTACACCCATGTGGGAGACCCAGAAGAGACTCCTGGCTTCAGATCAGCGCAGCTCCGGCTGTTGTGGCCAATTGGAGAGTGAAACATCAGATGGAAGACTTTCTCTCTCTCCCTCTCTCTCTCCCTCTCTCTCCCTCTCTCTCTCTCTCCCTCTGCCTCTCCTCTCTCTGTGTAACTCTGACTTTCAAATAATAAATAAATAAATCTTTAAAACATTAAAAATGAAAGGACAACTACAAAAGATGGGCAGACGTCAACATAGACACAGGAGACATGAAGAAGCAAAGGAGCCTGAGAACTCCAAAAGGACACAATAGTCCTCCAGATACAGATCCTGAACTGAAAGAAATCTATGACAGACTTAGGATTAAGAATAGTAAGTATAAAAAAGCTCATGGGATGCAAGAGAATACAGTTTTTTTTTTTCAGAAGAAGAGATGTAGCTTTGTGCTACATTTGTCATTTTTTCAATGAAAGACTTGACAAATATCTTTGAGAATTAATGACAGTAAAATTTGACAAACAATGTCAAGTGCAGGGACACCAAAATATAATTTAAAAAGATTCTTTTGTGCAACTCACAAACTGTTATCATTGCACAACATCTTTGGAGATGGTGTGGGGTGGGGTAGAGAATATTTCCGAAGTGGTTGATCATTCCAACTTCATTACTTTGAGAGGAATGTTTAGTGTCCCATGGGTATACCCCATGCCATCTCAACCTGGGCAAGTTCCAGCAGCTAAATTGCAAGCCCCTGGCTCCAGGAGAGTCCCCTGAGTCTGAGGCCCACAAAAGCTTGGTGGGAATGGAAGCCAAGAAAGTGAGGTGTTGCTCTCACCCTAGTGTCTGCTCATTACTGTCCATGCACACTGTGGATCAGCAGGCACGCACAGTCATGATCTTGGTCTTAACCGTGTTTGACAGGGAATTCAGAAGGGTTCAACCATGTTATAAAAAAACTCCATCAGGCAACATTCCATAAGGATGGCCAGTAAATCCTGTTCTCTTCAATATGTGGATGAACTAAAGGAGAACACTTGAACAGTAGCATCAGGTTTCTACATCTTCCAAAAAGAGATCATCGCTATGTAAAGTTAGGAGATAATACATAAACTCTTTGAATCTCATGCTATCTTTGAAAAGAGCTCTTGTGGGGCTAGTGAAACCTGTAAGTGACAAGTGTGAAATGTCACGTTTAGCAACCCTTAGAAACCAAACAAAGCCACCAAGTTAAATGAAGGATTGGGGGGCCGGCGCTGAGATGTAGCCGGTTAAAGCCCTGACCTGAAGCACTGGCATCCCCCAGGGGCGCTGGTTCTAGTCCCAGCTGCCCCTCCTGATCCAGCTGTCTGCTATGGCCTGGGAAAGCAGTGGAAGATGGGCCAAGTCCTGTACCCACGGAGGAGACCCAGAAGAAGCTCCTGGCTCTTGGCTTTGGGTCAACGCAGTTCTGGCCATTGCGGCCATCTGGGGAGTTAACCAGCAGGTGGAAGACCTCTCTCTCTGTCTCTGCCTCTCTCTGTAACTCTTTCAAATGAAAAAAAGGAAGGATCAGGATGCAGGGATATCTAAGTGGTTTTTAGTGGCTGCCTGTGTGAGGGAAAGGAAGCCAAGACAACAATTGAATGCAGCCAAAGGCATGTTCAGACAGGACACAAAATATTTTGAAAATGAATTCATCCTTCACTTAGTGTTGTACTCTGCTGTTGGCCCCACACTACTGAATGGATATAGGAAAACCTGCAGAAACCCAGAGAAGAAGATCGTGGCAGCCAATAACGTGTTTTGTCGCCCTGGGGGAAGAGGCTCAAGATGTGTTTTAACCTTACAAAAAAGTGTGGTGACTTCCTAACAGCCCTAGAGTAAAGAAACCTTGTCTGGAAACTAATTCTGCCTTGATGTTTTCAACTGCGGAGAAGGATGGACAGTGAGAGATGTGCTTAGATTGTTGTAGAGGGAAAGGCAGGTCTTTGAAATCAGCACGGGGGTACACAACTCCTGAGACGGAAGGAGGAGTGGCTGGTCCCCTTCAGTGGTGACTTCAAGAGGAGACCAGGTAGCCTTGCGTAGCAGCCTGGCCTAGGCAACTGGAAGGCAGGAGCTCCTAAGATTCCATGACACCCCCTACCTTCTAATTCTATGAGTGTTACTCCAAATGGTCACTTGGCAAGTAGGACCTTCAGTTCCCTTATTCTTGTCAGTGAACGAGCTATAAGCTGTTGCTTAAAAGCTGAATTTTGACACCCCCTCCCCCCCCGGATAGGACTGTTAGTAAAGACGTTCAGGATCTCTGGGGTGTTTCCCAACAGTAAGTTAGGCAATATGGTTATTCGCATCCCCGTCCTGATTGAAGCTACTGTATTTTATTTGTTTTAACTCCTCCTATGCTTGGTTTTCTTCACCCTAGTCCCAGAAACTGCGTTTTCTGCCAGCAACATCAAGATGGCAGGACCACCTAGCCCTTCATCTATTCCAGCAGATGACAAACTAAGGATCACCCGAGACTTCAGCCTCAGACTGTCAAAGTCAGAACGGGAGTTGGAAGCTCTCCGACAACAAGTATATAACTTGGCTACTTGCTTAGAGAAATACAGTGAGTTCTGTAGGTCCTCTCACCCAAGTGATGAATGGTTGTCTTTTGTGATTCTGAGAAATGAAATGCTTTCCAGATTTGATTGTTCTCTTCCCTTGAGCATAAGAAATGTCATTGTTACCGTACTGTGAGAAAGCTAGAAGTTAGTATTACAACCTCAGGTCGCTGAGTGTGGAATAGCCGAGGCAGGAGTTCTGCAAATTCCAGGTTTTCAGTCTAGTGTGGGGTAGGGTGGGGTGGCAATTAAAATGCCAGGGAATGATTCCTGGTACATGCCAGGAAATGTCTGTTTTTGTTATGGAGAGGCCAATTCATTTTTTTTTGACAGGCAGAGTTAGTGAGAGAGAGAGACAGAGAGAAAGGTCTTCCTTCCGTTGGTTTACCCCCAAATGGCCGCTATGGCCGGCACGCTGTGCCGATCCGAAGCCAGGAGCCAGGTGATTCCTCCTGCTCTCCCATGTGGGTGCAGGGCCCAAGGACTTGGGCCATCCTCCACTGCCTTTCCGGGCCACAGCAGAGAGCTGGACTGGAAGAGGAGCCACTGGGACAGAATCCGGTGCCCCAGCCGGGACTAGAACCCTGGGTCCCGACGCCGCAGGCAGAGGATTAGCCTAGTGAGCCTCGGCGCCGGCCAACAATTCATTTTAATTAGCAGCCTCTGTGTCCTGTACCACGTGGTGTGGGCTTCGTGTCTGGGCTTAATGTACTTCCACTCAGTTGAAGCTGCTTTTGTTTTTTTGTTTTTTTTTTTTAAGATTTATTATTGATTTGGAAGGCAGAGTTACAAAGAGAGGAGAGGCAGTGGGCTCTTCCAGGTGCTGGTTCACTCCCCAGATGGTTGCAATGGCTAGAGCCGATCCGAAGCCAGGAGTCAGGAGCTGCTTCTGATGTCCCACATGAGTGCAGGGGCTCAAACACTTGGGCCATCTTCCACTGCTTTCCCAGGCCATTAGCAGGGAGCTGGATTGGAAGTGGAACAGCCGGACTCTAACTGGTGTCCATAGGTATGGGATGCCAGCACTGCAGGCAGAAGCTTAACCTACTACACCACAGTGCCAGCCCCTCCAAGCTTCTTTTGAGTTCCAATTGGCCAATCCTTGTGCTAGTCACACAAGGGAAATGTGATGAAGAGTGCACAGGATCCACTTCATAGACAATAAAAGGGAGTTGGCCCTACCCTGGAACCATTATCTGTAAGTGACATTGTCAAGACCAGGGACTGCCCTGGTGAGAGGGAAGATCTGCTCGGGGAGCCCAGGGTCTTCCTGAAGGTGAAGAAAGTTCCTGACTCCTTGTGGTAGCACAGAGCAGAGTGTGGGGCGGGGACTCTGGGCCCTAGCCCCAGGCTCTATTCCAGAATGCCCGTCTTCTCTGTTCCTGAGATTCCTTATCTATGCCCACAGTGCTATCCCACCTCTGAATTATTGCTGTGAAATGCAAGACATATTTCTTGTAAAATACCAGAGATGGTTCCTAGTATGGAACACATTTATTCACTATTCATTCATTATTTCTAACTTAACAAGAACTTCATTAGTATGCGTGCATGTTTCCTTCAGGGCCTCTGGGTGATAAGCATTCTATTTTGCACAATTCTATCTAGCTCTTTTATCCCCAAACACAGAAGCCTGAAATCCTCAGCACAGAGGAATCATGCATCCCCAGTGTTAGGGTGCCTTGCCTAGCATGCAGAAAACCACTGCTTCACGCCTCAACTTAGTGTTTGACTTAAGAGGCTGTGGGGTGTGGTGATTACACTGGGCCATGGCTGAGTCACAGGTCAGAGGAGGGGAATTCTGATTCTGTCAAATGTCCATTGAATCACCTGTTGTCAGGCACTTTAGCTGTGCTAGAACTCTTGTTTGCTCATCTCTAAGATGGGCATTGTCAGATGTCTTGTTGGGAAGTGGAGAAATAAAGATAAGGAAGGAAATCCTTACACAGAGCCTGGTAGTGGAGTTTGCCCTCCCTAGAGGCAGTGGCCTGAGCTGCATGTCCAGCCCTCCAGTGAGGCAGCCGTGTCTGTCTTTCTCAGATGGTGGAATATACAAACCCCTGCTACACCACATGCTGGAAAAGAAAGGCCGGCTTGGATTGCTGCAAGTTGTGTCAACGGTTCAAGCTGCGTTCAAGTAAGGGGGACTCCGTGCAGGGCAGAGTGTATGTGTCTGTGAAATGGGTAGCTCAGCTGGGACAACCAAGACTTGACTTTGGCCAGCAGCAGGACACTTTTCTCATAAATATTGATAAAATGCACGACCAACGGAAAAGCTAACTGATGGGCTGCATGGTGATGCAGAGCCTCTTTTTCTCTTTTGGAAAACAAGGAATTTCTTGAGTTCAGATTCACAACCCAATATTGAACAGAGGCTAGTGGCAACACAGTGACATGTCTGCACACTCTGTAGTGTGGTAACCATGTCAACGGCTGTTGATCACCATCACCTCCTGATTGACTGATGATGGCCGATGTGCGGAGGGAACAGTGGCCAGCAGGTCCGAGGCGGGGCGGCTGGGCGGCTGGGTGCCCGGCTGCAATCCAGGGCGCTGAGTTGCCCATCAGCTTTCCCTGGGTTCAATCCAACCCGCGGTGGTTAGTCAGGTGTGTGGCAGGCTCTTTTCCAAGGCACGTGTTTCCTATCAGTCTGCCCGGCTTCAGTCCGGCCGGCTGTGACAAGTCAGGCCCGTTCCAGGCTCTAAACCAGGGTGCTCTGTTGCTTATCAGATTGCCTTGGCTTCTGTTCTGCGGGCCGTGCCCAGTTTCCTCAGTCTTCCTCTGTGCTGGCCCACCTTCCTTAGGCCCCCGTCCTGGGCCCCCAGTGGGGGTCTCCACCTCATTCTCCTGTACCTTTCACGTGGCGGCCCGGTGACACGTGGCTGGCCACTACGTTGCTCAGTGTTTGTTGCTGGCTGGGATCATATACATAGCGTTGCCCCCTGCTGGTTCCATGGGCTCATGTGGAGCTATTAATGGCCTCTGGGCAATGTGCTGACCTGTGCTGTTGGGCCTTTCTCATGGCCTGGCTTGCTACCCCAGACCCCATGCCTTAGCCCCTTATCTAGGTCTCCAACTCACAGTCTACTGTCCCTCTGAAGCCCCAGCCTGCCTGTCAAGGCTGAGGTGGCGGTCAGCTGGATTTTGGCAGTCGTGCTGGTTTTGACCACAGACAGCCCTCCAGGCATGCCAGCGAGGCCAGCCGCTCTCGTACATTTTGGTCCTTTGCTGCCTTGTGTTCCTCCTAGCCTTTTCCTGATGAGCACCTAACACCACTCAGCCTGTAACCCACACCCTATCCTGCCAGGATTGAACATTTGGATGTGTGCTGCCCATCTGACTGTATGCACCTCGGTTGGCCTGCCTTGGTCACTCATCTTTGTGCTGCCTTCGGCTTCCCTTTCCATCGATTCTGTTGTCCGGCACTTTGTTTAAAACAGCGTCGTCCCTGGCCACGCGCCGTGGAATGTGAGTCCTCCCACGCAAAAGACCTTGCCACTCCACTTAGTTGCTGGTGTCTTGTTCCGTACCACTGCCTTGCTGTGCCTTCTCCTGGTGGGCCCTGGCCCAGCTGCACTCCTGTGCACAGTTGGCTGCCAAGAGTGAATCCCCATGGTGCTGCTGACCCATGTGGTGGCAGGTAGGACCCATCTTTCCCCTTATCATGTTGTGACCTGCCCCGTGTGCCATCTGTTGCAGTGGAGAGCACACAGCTGGAGGCGGAGGAGGCTGACCCCTCCAGCGGTGGCCAGTTGTGCACATCAGGACACCGGGTCGAAGCCCAGTCTTTGTAAGTGATCACGGGCATGTGGGTCTGCTCTGTTGCACAGCTGATGACAGCGGGTCTGGGGAATGGTAGGGGATGGAACGTTTTCTTGGCTGTTGAAGACCATGTGCCCAGAAGGCCTGTTTTCCCGACTCTGGCCCAGCCTGGCCCGCCAACAGCCCCTCCCCACCCCTGTGTTCAGGAGGCCCTGTCTCTGTTGGCCCACGTTGTGCAGTGGCACTGGGGCCTTCCATGTCTTCACCTCCCTCTTCCTCGGGTTTCTGCCCTATGTGGCCCAGGGTCTGGTCCTCCTCCTGGGGCATTCCCACCCTCCTCACTTCCATGTTGCCTCCATCCAAACAGGGTAGACCGTTTCTTGTTCTCCCAGCCCCATGCCAACCCCTTTGGGGTAGTGTCCATAAACCCTAGGGGGACTGTCCATGGTCAGGGGTTGTGCGACACTGCAGTGAAGAAGGGACAAGGGAGGCCCGAGTTGGACCCCCTTCTAAGTAGCACTTCTCTGGGGTCCATGGGCATGACCCCAGCATAATGCACCAGGACACTTTCCCCCGACAAAATCTGTGTGCGGGCTCATCCTAATCCGTGTCCTCTGTCCTGCTGGGGAGGCTTGGCTGGTGATGTTCCATGGGACCTCAGGCTGCCCTCCTTGCGTTTTTCCTGTTCACCTGGTCTCCCTCCTTCTCCCTGGCTTTTCCTCATCTCTTTGAATGCCGTTGTTTCACTAAAGGGAGGATCGTGTTCACTTAGGTTTTGGTGTGCACTTTTTTCGGTCTCCTATGTTCTGTTAGTGCTAGGGAGACCCTGTAGTCGTTCTTGTGTCTGGCATCTGCCTGTGGTCACTTTTCTTCCCTTTGAACCTCCACAGGTCACTTACCATCAAAGGGCCTTTCTGGATGGCAGCTCCACCAGCCAAGGACCGCCCTTCTCCTTATGCCCAGGCTGGCGACCTCTCCCGGAGTGAGTTTCATAATGATTCCCAGGCTGTAAGCATCTCCTGGGCAGTTCATTTCCCTATTATTGGTCTTCAGGTAGACTCCAAAACCATTGCCCCACTGTGCTCATTCCTCTCCCCGAGAAGTCCTGTCATTTCTCCAGGTAGAGCCTTTTAGCATCATCTGTGTCTGTGGATACAGTGCTCTGCCCCCGTCCCTTCCTGTGCTGCCACTGCTTTCCTGAGTTCCCCTCAGTCCCGGCTATAGCATCAGCACTTGGGAGTCTCCATAGGAATCTCTTCCTCCTTTCAGATTTTATCCTGATTGCGGGATGGCCATGGTTTGTTGGGAGTGTCCAGCAGTACCAGCTGGCAGTGAAACCAGCCATGGGAGATGAGACCAGAGGCCAAGCTCGGGATCTGATAAGATGGCTGGACTGCCCCGCAGGATCATCGAGGAAACCCAGCGTTTGCCAACAGAACCAGTTCCTGGCATTAAAGCAGAACCAGATGAGAGCAGCGCCCACTATTTTCATAGGGTCATTGCTGGCCCCCAGGATTCCCCCTTTGAGTGGGGGACTTTTAAACTTGAACTATTCCTTCCAGAAGAATACTCGATGGCAGCCCCTGAAGTACGTTTCATGAACAAAATTTATCATCCTAATGTAGATAAGTTGGAGAGAATATGTTTAGATATTTTGAAAGATAAGTGGTCCTCAGCACTAGATCAATCTAGGCTTTGTTAAGTACTCCTAATCCAGATGATCCATTAGCGAATGATGTAGTGGAGCAGAGGAAGACCAACGAAGCCCAAGCCATCGAAACAGCTGGAGTGTGGACTAGGCTAGATGCCATGAACAATATTTAAATCGATCTGATCCTCGAGTGCCATCACTGCTGTTCTGCCAAGACTTCTTCCTTTTTGTTTGCATTTAATGGACATAGTCTTAGAAATATTACAGAATAAAAGCCCAGACATCTTCAGTCATTTGGTGATTAAATGCACATTAGCAAATCTGTCTTGTCCTAATTTGCTGTTGTAAAACATGAGCAGAGGCTAGAAGTATCATCTGGATTGTTGTGGAAATGTTTAGAAGCAGTGGCCCCTCTGCTTTTATTCGTTTTCCCCTATCCTGGTTTAAGTATAAGGCACTGCGAAGGAAGATAGTCGTCAGGGTTAGCTGCAGGAGTGTGGGTGTTTTTCTTTATTTTTTTGAAGGGGGAGGTAAGTTTTATTATAATTTTATGGGCTCTTCCCTCCCTTTTTATGATGATCTAATTGCATTGGATAAAAGCAGCTAACCAAGGGCCGGCGCCGCGGCTCACTAGGCTAATCCTCCGCCTAGCGGCGCCGGCACACCGGGTTCTAGTCCCAGTTGGGGCGCCGGATTCTGTCCCGGTTGCCCCTCTTCCAGGCCAGCTCTCTGCTATGGCACAGGGAGTGCAGTGGAGGATGGCCCAGGTGCTTGGGCCCTGCACCCCATGGGAGACCAGGAAAAGCACCTGGCTCCTGGCTCCTGCCATCGGATCAGCACGGTGCGCCGGCCGCAGCACGCCGGCCGCGGCGGCCATTGGAGGGTGAACCAACGGCAAAGGAAGACATTTCTCTCTGTCTCTCTCTCTCACTGTCCACTCTGCCTGTCAAAAATAAAAAAAAAAATTTTTTTAAAAAGCAGCTAACCAATTCTTTAGAATATGCTCTCTTGCCAAGTCTAACAATTTAGACTCTGTAGATAGACAGGCTTGATTGTTTGAACCAAAATGGGAACATTAAACATCACAGCCCTCACTAATAACATTGTGACTTTGCTGTCAAGGGTGGATTCCCCCTTCAAAAATGCTTGTGACCATTTTGTATGGCTTGTCTGGAAACTTGTGTACATCTTATGTTTCAGTAAAATATTTTTTGTTATTCTTAAAAAAAAAAGAAAAAGAACATCAGCCACAGAAGTGCCCTGGTGGCCCAGCCTCCAGATTCCCAGCAGCCCTTGGATGAACCAGTGAAACCACTCTAGGGGCCTCACATCTCAGAGCTTATTCTGGGGTAGTTGCCTTAGGAATTCTTCCCTACCACAGAACTATTATCATGTTCTCCTTTGCATTTATTTTATTTGCATTCATTTTTAAAGTTTTTATTCAATGAATGCATTTTTTCACAGATACAGCTTTAGGAATATAGTGGTTCTTTCCTCCATACCTCCCCCAACTCCCATCCCACCTCCCTCTCCCTCTCCCATCTCCTTCTTCATTATGGTTCATTTTTAGTTTGACTTTATATACAGAGGACCAACTCCATGCTAAGCATAGACTTCAACAATTTGCACAGACACAACATATAGAGTACAGTTTGGGAAGAAAATTTGCAGTCAATTCTCATATTGCAGCTCATTAGGGACAGAGGTCCTACATGGGGAGCAAGTGCACAGTGACTTCTATTGTTCCTTTAACAATTAACACTCATTTATGATGTGAGTGATCATTCAAGGCTCTTGCCATGGGCTGCCAAGGCTATGGAGGCCTTTTGTGACCATAGACTCCATCGGTATCTGGACACACCCATAAGCAAAGTGGATGTTCTCTCCTCCCTTCAGAGAAGAGTGTATCATCCTTCTTTGATGACCCTTTCTTTCCACTGAGGTCTCACATAGATCCTCCATGTAGGATATTTTTTTGCCACAGAGTCTTGGCCTTCCATGCCTGAAATGCTCTCACAGGCCTTTCAGCCAGACCAGGAAGCCTTAAGGGTTGATTCTGAGGTCAGAGTGTTATTTACAGGGAATGTCATTCTAGCAGTCTGCTGTGTGGACTGCTGCCCATGTTGGACTTCCCTTCCTTTCTAATTCTATTACTTTTACTGGGTACTTGATGTTATTGATATGATCACTTTTAAACTTGGACCAATCTGTATGTTGACTTTAATATGAGCATTTTAACAGTGAAGATGGCATTTATACCACCGATTTTTATGGGTTTGGGGCCCATGACAAGTTCCTAGGCTGTACCCTTAGAGGTAAGTCTGTATGACTGTATGCAGAACTAGACTGTTTTACAGTTATAGACTACCTCCTCCATCTCATTCCCCTTCTTACTTTTAACCGGGATCTTTTTACAATTGCCTTAAAATACATATGATTAACTCTGTGTCACATAGAGAGTTCAGCATATAGTAGGAAGAAGAGAAAAGAGAGAGAAAGAAAGAAAACAGAGAAAAAAGGATATACACAGCAAAAAGTAAAAATGATAAACTGTCCCTCAACAGGTCAAGGACTATTCAAGACATTGATTCTAAAAGTGACAATTTCACTTCTATAACTTTCATTTTAGGTGTGCTATTAATTCTCCCAAATCAGGGCAAACATATGGTATTTGCTTTTGGAAGAATGGACATTTTGATGATATTAATTCTTCCAATCCATGAACATGGCAGATTTTTTCCATTTTTTGTATCTTCTATTTCTTTCTTTAGTATTTTGTAGTTTTCATCATAGAGATCTTTGACATCCTTAGTTAAATTTATTCCAAGGTACTTGATTGTTTTTGTGGCTATTGTGAATGAGATTGATCTTAGAAGTTCTTGCACAGCCATGGCATTATCTGTGTATACAAAGGCTGTTGATTTCTGTGTATTGATTTTGTATCCTGCTACTTCACTGAACTCTTTTATGAGTTCCAATAGTGGAGTCTTTTGGGTCCCCTGTTTATAGAATCATGTCATCTGCAAACAGGATAGTTTGACTTCTTTCTTTCCAGTTTGTATCCCTTTGATTTCTTTTTCTTGCCTAGTGGCTCTGGCTAAAACTTCTTATAGAATCATGTCATCTGCAAACAGGATAGTTTGACTTCTTCCTTTCCAGTTTGTATCCCTTTGGTTTCTTTTTCTTGCCTAATGGCTCTGGCTAAAACTTCTATGACTCTATTGAATAACAATTGTGAGAGTGGGTGTCTGGTGCCTGATTTCAGTGGAAATGCTTCCAGCTTTTCCCCCATTCAATTTGATGCTGGTAATGGGTTTGTCATAAATTGCCTTAATTGTGTTGAGTAGTGTTCCTTCTTAACCCAATTTGCTTAGAGTTTTCACCATGAAAGGGTGTTGTATTTTGTCAAATGCTTTCTCTGCAACTATTGAGATAATCAATCCTATTGTTTTTGTTTCTCAATTTGTTAATGTGGTGTATCACATTGATTGATTTTCAAATGTTGAACCATCCCTGCATACCAGGAATAAATCCCACTTGGTCCGGTGAATGATCTTTCTGAGATGTAGTTGGATTCGATTGGCCAGGATTTTGTTGAGTATTTTTGCATCTATGTTTATCAGGGAGATTGCTCTATAGTTTTCTTTCTCTTGTTGCATCTTTTCCAGGTATAGGAATTAAGGTGATATTGGCTTCATAGAAAGAATTTTGGAGGATTCCCTCCCTTTCAATTGTTTGGAATAATTTGAAAAGAACTGTGGTTAGTTCTTCTTTGAATATCTGGTAGAATTCAGCAGTGAAGCTGTCCGATCCCAGGCTCTTCTTTGTTGGGAGGGTGTTTATTACTGATTGAATTTCTGTCATGGTTATGGGTCTGTTTAGGTTTTCTATGTCTTCATGGCTCAGTTTAGGTACATTGTATGTGTCCAGGAATCTATGCATTTCTTCTAGGTTTCCCAATTTGTTGGCATACAGCTCTTTGTAGTGATTTCTGATGATTCTTTTTATTTCTGTTGTTTCTGTTGTTGCATTTTTATTACCAGCTCTAATTTTATTGATTTGAGTCTTCTCTCTCCTTGTTTGGTTAGTTGGGCCAGTAGTGTGTCAATTTTGTTTATTTTTTTTTAAAAGCAGCTCTTCATTTTGCTGTTCTTTTGTAATTTTGTTTCAATTTTGTTGATTTTTTCTCTAATTTTAATTATTTCTTTTCTTCTACTGGATTTGGGTGTTTTTCTGGATCCTTGAGGTGCATAGAGAGTTCATTTATTTGGGTGCTTTTCCTGTTTTTCTTTTTTTTGTAGACACCAATTGCTATAAACTTTCCTCTTAGCACTGCTTTTGTTGTATCCCACAAATTTTGATAAGTTGTATTATCATTTTCTTTGATTTCTCTTTTGATTTCTTCTATGACACACTGCTCATTCAGAATCATATTGTTCATTTTCCATGTGTTTGCGTATGATGCAGAGATTCTTGAGTTGTTGTTTTCCAGCTTTGTTGCATTGTGGTATGACAAGATGCATAGTATAATTTCAATTTTTGTGACTTGCTGAGGCTCCCTTTATGGCATAGCATATGGTCAATCCTAGAGAAAGTTCCATGCACCTGGGAGAAATATGTGGACTCTGTGGCTGTGGGGTGAAGGCTCTAGATATCTGCTAGGTCTATTTGGTCTGTAGTGTCAGTTAGTTCTGCTGTTTCCTTGTTGGTTTTCTGTCTGGTTGATCTGTCCATTGCTGAAAGTGGGGTATTGAAGTCCCCTGTTACTATTGTATTTGAGTCTATATCTCCCTCTCAATTCCTTAATAATTCTTTCAAATAGCCAGGAGCCCTGTAATTAGGTGCATACACAGTTATAATAGTAACATCTTCATATTGAATTGATCCTTTAATCATTATATAGTGTCCTTCTTTGTCTCTTTAATAGTTTTTGTGTTAAAGTCTATTTTGCAGCTGGCGCCATGGCTCACTAGGCTAATCCTCCACCTGCGGTGCCAGCACACTGGGTTCTAGTCCCAGTCAGGGCGCTGGATTCTGTCCCAGTTGCCCCTCTTCCAGTAAGTAATCTTCTAAGTACTCTGATTATTAATTTTCTGAATTCTTTTTCTGGCATGACTTTAATTTCTTCTTCTTCAGCCTCTATTATTGTAGATTGCTCCATTGGCAAGTTCACAGGTTCTTCCACATTCTTATTCAGGATTTTCCTTTGTTCTTTGGCATTTCTGTTTGGTTTATTTTTTAAATTGATTTCCTTCTGCTATGAGCTGCTGTGGGTCTGTGCCGATTGCC